TTTTAATAAATTTTTTATTAATTAGTTTTTTATTATTTTTTTAATTAATCAAAAATTTACTGTTAAGTGATATTAGTAAATAAAGGTTAGCAAAGCTTACCTTAAACTTAAGCTTTGCTAACCTTTATTTATTACTATCACTTTTGCTGTGGCGTACATCAGCTCATTGGTCTCGGTTGTGACAATCTTGGTCGTTGTACTTGGTTATGATCTTCAGTCGTAGGTCAGTCGCCCTAATGTTGAGTGATTCTGTGCCGTAAGGGCTTGTTGTTATTGGGGCTTGGGACCCAATCTCTGAGTGTGGGGATGATGATGACATCTCCCCGCTGACCTGTCGTCCTGGCTCCCCCTTGTTGTACCTCATCAATCTCTAGTTGTGATAGGACACTGAGCTAGAAGTTGTTTCTTTGTCAGTATTGATGATGAAACATACATATATCCCATAGTCTCTGCATATAACCCCTCTTGAATCCAAATTACTGATGTAGATGTATTTATTGTTGTTCATTTCATTTGGTATTTTTATATTTATGTCTTATTTGCAGCCTAGTTCTCATCTTCATCATTCACCCTCAGCCCAGAGATAAACCTGTATGCTCTTCTGTTCTAACCTGGTTCTAACACTGCTGTCAGCTTCTCAGCAGCTCTGACAACAAACTCACATCAGAAATGTCCTTATGTAGGCCATCTGGCCAAAGACGTTATTTACCACTGTGCTATATACTGTGAGAATCTTTCTTGTCCATACACATTCTAGTGTGTATAACATCACTCAACAGCATTTATTCAACATATATAGCACATACATGCTGTCAATGGCATTCAATGTACAATCTATGGCTGCAGAACAATGAGTGTGAAGCCATAAGGTAAGAACATTTTCCTTAAAAGAAAGTCCAAAAGCAATTAAATTGTTTAAAAAAACAGGCTATCAACGCTGAGAATGTCTTTTTGAGACGTCAGTCAGGCCTCTGTGGCCATATTTAAAATGTTCTGGCGGATATTGTACAACTGTATGCTAACAAATACAAACAAAAATAAAAAAAAAGACTACTTTGGCTTTGTTTAGTTGAACTTTGACCTGTCCATGCAGTTCTTCCCTCCTATGTTTCATGAGAGCAGCTCCTCCCCCTATGAGTAAAAACAAATTGGTATTTATATATATATATATTAAAAAAACACACAGGCCTAGATGAGGAAAACCTTTAAAAGTTGAAGCTAACTGTGCAGAAAAGCTGCCAGCCAGAAGACCTGCTGGGCCTCAGCGAGTACAGTATGCCCACACCTACAAAATCAGCACTGTGGCCCTGCTTGTTGATCAGGTGAACACTGGGTGGTTAGACTTTCTTTCAATAAAGGTGTGGAGTCTGAGGTCAACACTTTGAGGGACACTATTAGAAATTAAGAAGGCCACATGCCAAGGTAGTTTTTGTTTCTCTTTAATAGTTTTTATACGGAAATGAAAATATTTAAGCATACTGTTGTACAATATCAGCCAGAACATTTTAAATATGGCCTCACACACCTGACTGACATCCTGAGAAGACATTCTCAGCATTGACATCCTTTTGTTTTATAATTTAATTATGTTTTTGGACTTTCTACAGGCCTGCTGCTCTTGAGAACCTAATAAGTGTTACCTTATGGCTTCACAGTCAATGTTCTGCAGCCAAAGCTCGCACATTTATATTAATACATAATATTATATGACATTAATTATTGCCATGGATGTATGCTATACAGGGGTGCTTGAAGTTTCTGAACCTTTTTAGAATTTTCTGAATTTACTGGCTTCCTGTCTCACTCAGGATTGAATACAAGATGTCCCTCCTTACCCACTAGTGCATCCATGGTGAAGATTTGTTGTCAGAGAGAAGCTGACAGCAGTGTTAGAACCAGGCTAGAACAGAAGAGCATGCAGGTTTAATGCTGGGCTGAGAGTAAATGATGAAGATGATACATAGGCTACAAATAACACATAAAAATCAAAAACCAAATTAAATGAACAATAATAGATACATCTACATCAGTAATCTGGATTCAAAACATTCGATAAAGACACAAACCAGGCATTCATTTAAATCCTGCCACCTGCTGGTAGAAAGGGGAAACAGCTTGGTTCATTATGGTGGAAACCACATTAAATATTAATTTAATATTAAAAATATAGTGCTGACAGTAACAACTCTGCACACACAATCATTTCTTAGGTTAACCTATATTAGCCTACCAACTGTACTGCACCAAACAATGTGCTTAAAAAACGTGACTTGCCGTCTACATGAATAAATGCGCAATATTATAGTGCATGTAGTCAGCTGCTGTGTTGGAAGAATGTCTGAAGGATTTATTAACTAACTACAATAACATGGTTAAGGATGCAAGAACACACTATTTTTCTGAACTCATTACTACACATAAACACAATCCCAGGTTTCTGTTTAAGACTGTGGATCAGCTGGTAAACCCAACCCCTCCTTGTGCCTCAGCTGGAAGTAATGATGACTGTGAATTGTTTTTATCTTATTTTACCAATAAGGTGGTGTCAATCAGAGCCTCTATTACCCCCGCGGCCTCTTATTCAGAGGTTCCTCACCAGCAACAAGAGAGTTTTAACCAGTTGTATCCCATCGACTTGTCTGAGCTTTTAAAAACAGTATCACGAATGAAAGTGTCCTCCAGCCCACTTGATGTAATACCTATAAAACTTTTACTGAAAGTAATAGATTCTGTTGGGCCCCATTTGATCTCTGTTTTCAACAGCTCCCTATCTACTGGTTGTGTCCCTGATTATTTTAAAACGGCTTGCGTGAACCCACTTTTAAAGAAACCTGGTTTAGATCCCTCCCTCTCACATAATTTTAGACCAATTTCAAAACTGCCTTTTATTGCAAAGATTCTAGAAAGAATTGTGTCCAAACAGCTGCTCACTGTACTGGAAAATAACAAAATATTTGAAAAGTTTCAATCTGGTTTTAGGAAGTACCACAGCACTGAGACTGCCCTGCTTAAAGTCACCAATGACCTTTTAATGTCTGCTGATGAAGGTATGTGCTCAGTCCTGGTACTCCTGGACCTTAGCGCTGCTTTTGACACCATTGATCACAACATCATGTTAGACAGACTGAGGCACTGGGTGGGGATCTCTGGTACTGCCCTAGAATGGTTTTCATCCTACCTGTCAAATAGGAAGTTTTGCGTGTCAGTAAACAACTATGTCTCTTCGTTCTGTCCAGTTAAATATGGTGTGCCTCAGGGGTCGGTCTTAGGACCCATTTTGTTTTCCTTGTATCTGCTTCCCTTTGGACATATTATCCATAAACATGGCATTTCTTTTCATATTTATGCTGATGACACACAAATATACTTGCCCGTCAGATCCACAGACCCTGGAATGCTGAGTTCACTTAACAACTGCCTTTGTGAAGTTAAAAAATGGATGTCAAATAATTTCCTCCAACTGAACTCAGACAAAACAGAAATCCTGGTCATCGGGTCCCAGCAGATGGCAAATCAAATACTGCCATCAGCTGGTTCCCTAGTAAATCACATTAAGCCTGTGCAAAGAACCTTGGTGTTTGGTTTGATAGTAATTTAAATTTCGAGCAGCACACCACAAAGCTTGTTCAATCATGTTTTTATCAACTTAGAAATATAGCAAAAATTCGATCTATGTTAACTTTTAAGGACACCGAGACCATTTTACACGCCTTCATCTCATCACGCCTGGATTATTGCAACAGCCTTTTCACCTGTTTAACCCAAAAATCTATTGATTGACTCCAGACTGTCCAGAACTCAGCTGCCAGGCTTTTAACCAGAACAAAGAAATATGACCACATTAGTCCTATTTTAGCTTCATTACACTGGCTCCCAGTATGTTTTAGAATTGACTTTAAAATTCTATTGATCGCTTTTAAAGCTCTTCATGGCCTCTCGCCTTGTAATATTTCTGACCTTTTAGTCCCATACGCACCAGCACGTACCTTGAGATCCTCGGGCAGAGGTCTGTTGTCTGTTCCAGAGTCTCGACTGAAAACTAAAGGGGACAGAGCGTTTGCTGTCAGGGCCCCGAGGCTCTGGAACAGTCTGCACGAGGAAATCAGGTCGGCTGAGTCAGTGAACTCTTTTAAGTTCCTTCTTAAAACATACTTTTATAGGAGAGCCTTTCCCGATCTTATTTGACTTTATTTTATCCCTTTTATTTTATTCTATTTTACTAATTTTATATTTATCTTAAACGTGTATTTTAGTCTTTTCAATGTTTTCATGCTTTTATCTTGTATTGTTTTTGTATTATTGTCTCTTGGGTATTATGGTCTTTACACTTGTTAAAGCACTTTGTAACTTGCTTTTGAAAAGTGCTCTACAAATAAAAATTATTATTATTATTATTATTATTATTAACGTATTTCTCTCGGTCAAGGTTTATTTATGTATTTATTTATTTTCATCTAACGTCACCTTGGTATAACTTTAGTGCTGCATAATGTTACAGATCTGACCGTCCTACAAGCTTGGCTTTTATTTTAAAATCTTTACTCTTACTTCCGGGTCACCCGACCCACCTGTCTTTCTTTTCTTGATGTCCATCTTATAACAGAGAAATTCAAATAGGAATTTCAAAAGACAAACGTTTTTTTTGTGGTTCAAATGAAAAAAAAACAAACCATCAGAACGTACACCCCTCACATTTTTGTAAATATTTTATTATATTTCATGTGACAACACTAAAGAAATGACACTTTGCTACAGTGTAAAGTAATAGTGTATAGCTTGTATAACAGTGTAAATTTGCTGTCCCCTCAAAATAACACATCACACAACCATTAATGTTTAAACCGCTGGGGGAAAAGTGAGTACAACCCTAAGTGATGGATGGAATTGGAATTTTCAATTGACCACCAACTCGGAACGCTTTCCCACATGTTCCACAAGAATACGACTTCTCACATGTTTTTTTAAAAGCTTAAGTGTCACTGAATCTTGTCCTGTAGGTCTCACATAGCTACGGCTTCTCACCTGTGTGGATTCTCATGTGTAGTTTTAAGTAACTCCTCCAGCTAAAAGAATTCTTACATATTTCACAAGAATACGGCTTCTCACCTGTGTGGATTCTCATGTGTAGTTTTAAGTAACTCCTCTGGATAAAAGAATTCCCACATATTTCACAAGAATACGGCTTCTCCCCTGTGTGGATTCTCGTATGTTGTTTAAATGCTGCATTTTCTCTGAATCTTTTCCCGCAGGTCTTGCAAAGGTACGGCTTCTCACCTGTGTGGGTTCTCATGTGTGGTTTTAAGTAACACCTCTGGCTAAAAGATTTCCCACATATTTCACAAGAATACGGCTTCTCACCTGTGTGGATTCTTGTATGGATTTGCAATTGATTGCTGGTTATAAAGTCTTTCCCACATGTTTTGCAAGAATACGGCTTCTCACCTGTGTGGATTCTCATGTGGAATTTCAAGCCTTCGTTCCGACTAAAAGATTTCCCACATGTGTTGCAAGAATACGGTGTCTCACCTGTGTGGGTTCTCGTGTGCACTTTTAAGTGAACCCTCTGGCTAAATGATTTCCCACATGTTTCACAAGAAAATGGCTTCTCACCTGTGTGGGTTCTCAAATGTGTTTTAAATGCTGAAGTTTCATGGAATCTTTTCCCACACGTATTGCAAAGGTACGGCTTCTCACCTGTGTGGGTTCTCAGGTGTTTCTGTAATTCTGACTTGTACTGGAAACCTTTTCCACATGTGTCACATGTGAAAGACTTTTTACCTGTGTGAGGATCATGGTGAATCTCTGACATGGTAGACTTGTGTACATTGTTTCTGGGGCTTCTCCTGTTGTGATCTTGATTCTTTTGTTTTGGATCTGCATCTCTAGTTGATCCTGAGTCTTCATGCTCGCCTCCTTTCTGATCTTGGCTCTCAGCTACATGACAGTTGTGAGAGAGGAGCTGGTGGTCACTTTCCTCATGAGTAGGACTCAACATAAAGGTGTCAGTCTCCTGCTTCACTACAAGCTGCTCTCCCTCCTGACTGGTCCAGAGTTCCTCCTGTTCCTCTTTAACCTGTGGAGGCTGTGGGTCCTCCTGGTCCAGACCAGCCAGAACCTCCTCCTCCTTACAGACATGTTGCTGTGGGAGCTCTGGAGGGACAGAGAACAAAAAAGAACAGGCTAACGTTACTACTGTGATGGCAAAGATCACGATAAAACGTTTCATAGCCTTTGATATCGTTAATTATGACATTAAGAACCAAATCGTTATTTCTTTTGAGTTGATTTTTGCACCTGAGTGAAAGTTGAAGAAACCTGATGGTTAGTTGTGGTTTAAACTCATCTTTATGGTCAACACTTGATGCCAAACAGTGAATCACTTCACAAATCAAAACAACATTCAGAACATTCAAAACAATTATGATAAATTCTTTGTCAACAAATATGCATGTGTAAATTAAGAAAAGCTATTTTGTGTATAGATTCAAGTGAATAACACCAAACATTAATTGAACATTTGTTACGTCATGATTATGATGGGGCTGTTTTCAAAGTGGAGGAAGAGTCAGAAAATGGTGAGGGACAAAGAAGAAATTGTCCAAAGCATGGAATTATTTCAAGCTAAAAGAAAACAACAACTCTAATATTACACCGTAAAATGAAACTTATGTCACCTACCGCAACAGCACGACAGCATCTGACCAGTAAGCACACGGGGCGCCGCCACCAAGCAAAATTAATAATAATAATAATCCTTATTTGTAGAGCACTTTTCAAAAACAAGTTACAAAGTGCTTTAACACGTGTAAAGAATAATACAAAAAAACAAGTTAAGAGCATGAAAAATTAATATAAAATTAGTAAAATACAATAAAATGAAAGGGATAAAATAAAGTCAAATAAGATCGGGAAAGGCTCTCCTATAAAAGTATGTTTTAAGAAGGGACTTAAAAGTGTTCACTGACTCAGCCGACCTGATTTCCTCGGGCAGGCTGTTCCAGAGCCTCGGGGCCCTGACAGCAAACGCTCTGTCCCCTTTAGTTTTCAGTCGAGACTCTGGAACAGACAACAGACCTCTGCCCGAGGATCTCAAGGTACGTGCTGGTGCGTATGGGACTAAAAGGTCAGAAATATAACAAGGCGAGAGGCCATGAAGAGCTTTAAAAGTGATCAATAGAATTTTAAAGTCAATTCTAAAACATACTGGGAGCCAGTGTAATGAAGCTAAAACAGGGGTAATGTGGTCATATTTCTTTGTTCTGGTTAGAAGCCTGGCAGCTGAGTTCTGGACAGTCTGGAGTCGATCAATAGATTTTTGGGTTAAACAGGTGAAAAGGCTGTTGCAATAATCCAGGCGTGATGAGATGAAGGCGTGTAAAATGGTCTCGGTGTCCTTAAAAGTTAACATAGATCGAATTTTTGCTATATTTCTAAGTTGATAAAAACATGATTGAACAAGCTTTGTGGTGTGCTGCTCGAAATTTAAATTACTATCAAACCAAACACCAAGGGTCTTTGCCACAGGCTTAATGTGATTTACTAGGGAACCAGCAGATGGCAGTATTTGATTTGCCATCTGCTGAGACCCGATGACCAGGATTTCTGTTTTGTCTGAGTTCAGCTGGAGGAAATTATTTGACATCCATTTTTTAACTTCACAAAGGCAGTTGTTAAGTGAACTCAGCATTCCAGGGTCTGTGGATCTGACGGGCAAGTATATTTGTGTGTCATCAGCATAAATATGAAAAGAAATGCCATGTTTATGGATAATATGTCCAAGGGGAAGCAGATACAAGGAAAACAAAATGGGTCCTAAGACCGACCCCTGAGGCACACCATATTTAACTGGACAGAATGAGGAGACATAGTTGTTTACAGACACACAAAACTTCCTATTTGACAGGTAGGATGAAAACCATTCTAGGGCAGTACCAGAGATCCCCACCCAGTGCCTCAGTCTGTCTAACATGATGTTGTGATCAATGGTGTCAAAAGCAGCACTAAGGTCCAGGAGTACCAGGACTGAGCACATACCTTCATCAGCAGACATTAAAAGGTCATTGGTGACTTTAAGCAGGGCAGTCTCAGTGCTGTGGTACTTCCTAAAACCAGACTGAAACTTTTCAAATAATTTGTTATTTTCCAGTACAGTGAGCAGCTGTTTGGACACAATTCTTTCTAAAATCTTTGCAATAAAAGGCAGTTTTGAAATTGGTCTAAAATTATGTGGGAGGGAGGGATCTAAACCAGGTTTCTTTAAAAGTGGGTTCACGCAAGCAGTTTTAAAATAATCAGGGACACAACCAGTAGATAGGGAGCTGTTGAAAACAGAGATCAAATGGGGCCCAACAGAATCCATTACTTTCAGTAAAAATTTTGTAGGTATTACATCAAGTGGGCTGGAGGACACTCTCATTCGTGATACTGTTTTTAAAAGCTCAGACAAGTCGATGGGATAAAACTGGTTAATACTCTCTTGTTGCTGGTGAGGAACCCCTGAGTAAGAGGCCGCGGGGGTAATAGAGACTCTGATTGACACCACCTTATTGGTAAAATAAGATAAAAACAATTCACAGTCATCATTACTTCCAGCTGAGGCACAAGGAGGGGTTGGGTTTACCAGCTGATCCACAGTCTTAAACAGAAACCTGGGATTGTGTTTATGTGTAGTAATGAGTTCAGAAAAATAGTGTGTTCTCGCAACCTTAACCATGTTATTGTAGTTAATTAATAAATCCTTCAGACTGAGGTAATGGACTTGGAGACTGGATTTTTTCCATCTGCGCTCTGCTTTCCTGCATTCCCTTTTTAGGCTGCGAATGCTGTCATTTATCCAGGGTTGCTTACTAGCTTTAGACGTAGGCCTAACCTTTAGAGGAGCAGTAATATTTAATGACGACAAGCAGATATGATTGAAGTGATCAACCAGATTGTTGGTGTTGGAATCAGACAGAATTGGCTTTGGCTCTGAAAGAATGCGCAAAACTTTGAAACACTTTGTTCATTAAAGATGCGAGAACACACGGAGCTTGGTGAGGCGGCATGAGTAACAGGCGAATCGCAGCTAAAAACAATACATCTGTGGTCAGATATGGTCATGTCCACTAATTCCACAGAGGAAGTCCAGTGTATGACCACGGTTATGTGTTTGACCTTTGACATGTTGTTTGAAGTTAAAAGAAGTGGCCATATTTAAAAAGTTAGTTGCATTAACATTGTTGGGGTCATCAACATGAATATTAAAATCGCCACAAAGAACAATTCTGTCATAATTTAAAACCAGAGTAGATAAAAATTCAGGAAGTTCAGAAAAAAATCCTGCAGGCGGTTTTGGGGGGCGATAAATTATAACAAATATGATAGGTTGCCGCACTCCAACTTGAGTGAGAACTTCAAAGGAGTTAAATTCATCACAGCGTACTTGATGACATTTAAAATTTTTCCTATACACGCTCACTAGCCCACCACCACGACCACTGACCCTAAAAGTCTTACTTGAAAGTGATCTCAAATTGAACAGAGCCATTTTAAATGAGTTTGTTCTGGGTGCTGGAGTTGGTGCAGTTGTCCTAATCCTTAAGAGATTACTATTATTTCTGTGTGGGATGTGCACATTTCTGTTTACTGGTCTATGAAAAATTACTTCTTAAACGACGCATTGATGAAAAAATCTATACAAGCTTTGAGTTCTGAAATAATCGTTAGCTGCAGCCCTATGTCTTACTGTCTCAAGATAATTATTTGGACATCCTAAGATATTTTTTTAAAGTTTCTCATTATTTTGAGGTCATTCTTTTCTGATATGGACGTGATGAATTTAGCGCGAGGATACACATGTGACAACGTCCGGTTTTCAAAATAAGGTGCCTAGACAGGATGGAAATAAGATTAATTGGATTATATTCACAGAAAGTATAAAACATATTACATGGGGCCATTAAAAGTAAAAAAAACAGTAAAATGTTAGGGATATTATTCAATTTGATATTCTTTGATTGAGGGTTTCTGGAAAAACATTAAATAGGCTACATTTGTTGACTTTTGTTACTGCTTCATCACCATCTATACAACGGGTTTATGATCAAATAGTTTACTAGAGCACAACATTATTTACAATACTGCAAAGTTATTCAAAGACCTCTTAAAATCCTGTTGGAAACACTGATAATAATAATAAACTTTTACTCTACTTTATATTTATGTTCTCTATACTGGAGCCTGTGTTGGATTTTATTATTAGCAGCAGTGTTGGGCAGTACCGTCACTACAAGTAGCGCAGTTACTAGTTTGACTACATTTCTCAGTAGCTTGGTGGTAGTGTTGTTGTTTTCTGAATCAAATAGCTTTTCGGTAGCGAACCGAGTAGCGCGGTAGCGTCCACACACGCTACATGTTCCCAAGCATTTCTGAAGGATCAGTAAGTGACGCCACCGCCACACACGGACCTGTATGTGCAGCAGACAGAAGCACTTCCGCTTGGTTAAATATAATCTTGGCCTATACTCTGTGTGTGTGTAATTATATATCAGGTAGAGATAATACGCATAATACAGTTGTTGTAGCTTAGCTTGCTACATTTCCCTGAGGTTAGCTTCAGTGTAGTGAAGCTTCATTTAATGTAGAGTAGCTAGTAGCTTAGCTCGCTACATTTTCCAAGTAGGTTGCCCAACACCGGTAAGCACATCATGACCGATGTACAATCCTGACTCAGATTCCTCGTAATGTGTCCACATACCTGGCAAATAAAGCTGCTCTCCCTCCTGACTGGTCCAGAGTTCCTCCTGTTCCTCTTTAACCTGTGGAGGCTGTGGGTCCTCCTGGTCCAGACCAGCCAGAACCTCCTCCTCCTTACAGACATGTTGCTGTGGGAGCTCTGGAGGCACAGAGAACAAAAGGAACAGGCTCACGTTACTACTGTGATGGCAAAGAAAGAAAATGCAGACACGAAAGCAGTATATATTTAAATACACAAAATCCATACTGGTATTCACATAAACCTCTGTTTTGTGTAACTAATATAATGAATGTTTCCTCACCTATCCTGTGTAACTTTATTTCGGGTTTCCAAACGATATCCAGCAGTCTGCGCTGACGATCGATCTCTTTCTCGTACTCGACGATAGTGTTTTTAAAAACTCTGAATATTTCTTCAGCAGCAGCAGTTAGTCGCTCGTTGACAAACTCTCTCAAACTCTCAACTGAACTCATTGTTGCTGAACTACAAATTAAATAATTAGCGGCGCTACAGCTACAGTAACTTATACCGACTTTAAAAGATCCGCTAACGCCGGCGCTTGTATTGTTTACTTCCGCCGGATATCACACTGTTGAAGTTCCGACAGCGCGAGTGCGGGAGCTTTTCGTTCCGCTTTTAACTTCTTTTATTGAAGATAAACAGGTACGTTCCAACCAGCCATCTTATCATATTTTATATTTTTATTTTTATATTGTAGTATTTGAAAGAACATTGGAGTAGAAAGTTTGTACAAAACTCCTCATGCTGTAACAAATTTCTACTCTCATCCTTAAAATCAGCAACAGCCCAAATCCCTTTAGATCATTCCTCTGTGTACACAGATTCTCTATTAAGCAATGTGCAACTGTTATTCCACACTGGTGTGTTATGTGCTACAGAATTAAACATTGCAATTGGTCTCAAATTATCTTATGTACTTTTATCTTTGCCAGCTTTAGGAATCAGTGTGATTATACCTTGTTTCATGCTTGACATCAGCTCGTTCCAGGGAATTTGTTGATAGCCATCTTCAAAAATCACTGATAAAAGACATT